TGCAGAGCGCGGCGCGTGGCTGTGCACCCGGCGCGGGCTCGGCCCTGCTGACCCGACCCGGAGGCTTCTTCTCCGGGCGACTGGGGCGGGAAGAGCAGCCTCCCTCCAGCCCCGCGCCGGCAGGGTCCGCCCGCCGCTCCCGCAGGAGCGCGGGGAAGGAGGCGCCTCCCGCGCCCGAGGGACGTGCCCCGGCTCCGCACTCGGGCCCGGGCGGGAGGCGCAAGTTGTGCCCTGCACGATGCGCTGCTTCCCCGGAGACGGGGAGCAGAGACCTTGCCCCTGGGGAAGGCTGAGCCCAGACAGGCCCGTGCCGGACCTGCCCCCGAGACTGCCTTCCTGCGGTACCCCGGGGTGCAGCTGGAGCTCCCTGGCGGTCTCCTCAGGGATGCAGCCCTTCTTCAGCGGGACGGACGGACTTCCTTCTGGCAGGGCCCCGCCGGCGGTGCAGAAGGCGCGCGGCGGGGAGACGGACAGGAGCGCAGGCAGGGGCTGAGTCAGAGCTCCACGTGGAGCTGGCTGAAACGAAGACCCTTCAAGGAATAATAGCGCGACATTCAGACGTACATGCATGCCTAAAAGAAGTACGGCTGGGGCAGAAAGGCAAAGCACCGCCTCAGGGAAGCAATAAATGTGCGCACGCAAAACCTTGACAGAGAGAGGCTGCAATCTTCTTCCAGTTTGCTGCCGAAAATGACAGGTCGCAACAATATTGCTCCCATCTTCTCCAGAAACAGCCGCTCAAACGAATTCAAGCAGCTCAACTTCAAACTCCCATGCATTATTCTTTCAGGTTCTGCCACTTCAATCATTCGAGCAAGCCATCTGCTTCTACCAGCGAGTCCTAATACAGTTCTACTGCCTTGAAAATCGCCCTGTCCTCCATCATAACTCAAAGCCTTAGTTATCATCAGTCTCACAAAGTGGGAAGAATAATTTACACGGATCAACTGGTTGGTTGGTTCATTGATTTATATACCATCCTAGCCTGGAAAATGCACAGGGTGACTTACAATATAAAACAATTATCAAAACACAGAGAATATTAACATTGAATAGTATCTAATAAGGAATTCTCCAAACAGTGCCCCAGAACGTAACTCCTGCTAAAAGCCTGCCCAAATTCAGACGTCTTACATTGCTTCTGAAAGAGACCCAGACTCTGTCTCTGATAGTCTGCAAGAGGGAGGAAGGTGCAGAGCTGAGGAGCCACTACTGAGAACTACGTCTCATCTGTGTTTTCAATAGGTCCCCACTAAATAGCCTAATAACCAAAGCTCTGGAGAAGAAGTAGTAATTCTGACTAGTTCAAGTTAAAATGACACAGAATCATTTATATGCAAGCTCAGCCCTTCATTTTTCTAAAACAGTATGACAAATACTGGTAGTTGAAACCTGTAAACAGTTCAAAGAAAGATAAAAGGCTGAACTCTGCATCTGGTGAGTTTTCCTACTGTTATGGAGTCCATAATTTAGGGGCCAGGGTGGAAGCAAAGATAACTACAAAGTAGCAAATATAAAGACTGAACAACACTATATATATATAGTTGGTGAGGCAACAGTTGATGTTCCTGCTCAGTGTTTACTCAGTCAAAACCTGCATTTAAACAATGGAGTAGTTTCGTGTGCAA